GGGCAACACAGTGAGACTCTGTCTCAAAAAAAAAAATGGCAACAGGACTACTCAGCCCACGCCGGGGAGCGTGCGTGGGCACAGCCACTGCGATGCCACAGGGCCCTTTCTGCAAGTCCTCTGGGGACCTCTCAGCTCGGGCACGGCAAGCCCCGCCGCCCCCACCCCCCCACCTCGCCACAAGGCTGTTTGAGGCAGCAGGTGTATGAACAGAGAAAAACTAGGAATAACGCACGAACGACCTGCAGCTCTACTTAGCAACATCGATGAAGATAAACGTGGCACTCAGAAAAAAGCTGCAGAAGTCCAATAAGACAATGTTTACATAGAAACCTAAACAGGCCAAATAACAGTTCAGATTGTTCTGAGACATACTCGTGCTGAAAAGAATCAAGATGCGACTAGAAATGCCAATCGCACATTGCGGAGAGGGCAGGGGTGTGGGGCCTTCCTGGCCCCCACGAGCCTGGTGTCAGGCGGGACGGGGTAGGTGGGCACTCCACGCTCTGTTTGCCTGAAACGCTTGTTAACCAGCCAGCGGGTCAGAGGACTTTGGGACACTGAACCCAGTGACCTATCTCTCCTTTCCCTCTTCCTGTCCCCACTGCTGGCCCCTCACGCTTGCGTGCAGGCTTTGGCACCTGTCTCAGGTGTGCTGGCAGGCTGGCTCTGGCTTCCCGCCCTCACTTTGGAAGGAGCTTTGCCCTGATGCCCGAGTGCCAGGCGCCCAGACGGTGCAGCCACGACTCACTGAGCGCCCACCGCGTGGGGCACTGCTCAGGGAAGACAGGAGATTCTGGACGCAGGCGGGGTCACAGGCCAGCAGCTGGTGGGCTGGGGAGGGTTGGCTGTTTCCGGGTGGGGCCACACGTCATCTCCCTGCCCCGCCACACCTGCCTGTCCTGGTGCTCGCAGGGGGCAGGCTGTTCTTTCGGGTTGAAGCAGCCGACGGGAAGCTCGGGCTGACAACCTGCTCTCCTCCCACCTGCTGCAGACCCGGGGAAGCCTCCCTGTACTCCGTTGTCATAAACAGAGCGAGTGCACTTCTGCGCTCCAGGACGGCCCACCTGACACGACACAGGCACCCGAGCCTGGCATGTCACGGCCGTTTTAATAATTGCCTGTGAAAGCCTGAACTCGGAAAGCAGCTCCCTGGACGGGCCTGCGTGCCCAGAAGGCAAGCGAGGTCTGGGTCTGCACTGACCTCCACGCGAACCTGCTGCCCAGACCCCACCACGCCCCACCTGCTTAAGCACCACATCCGGGTCGTAGTTCATGACCGTGAAATGCTTCTCGTAGTCGTCCAGGTCATTGAGCTCGAAGGGCCTGGAGGATGAGGAGACACAGAGACACACATGGGTTCCTGAGCCGGCCTCGTCCACCCATGGAGGGAGGTCACCGACTGAGCCTTTCTGCCTGGGGGGCTCGGGGCAGAACTGCCGCTGCCCAGGCTGGGCGCCAGCTCCCTCATCTATGGGGGTGGGCAGCCCCGGGGCCCCCTTAGACCTGGGGTGGAGGGAGTGACGTGCTAACTGGGAAAAATCCCCATGGGTCCACAAACCGTCCTGATAATTCTCACGCATTGGTGCCTATTTTAGAAAGAACGTTCATGTCCATAACCGTGGCCGACGCGAGAACGCTGGGTGGGTGATGGAGGAGGAGCCCAACCCAGGCGTCTCACCCCAAGTCAAAAGGGCCCAGGGCCCTGCCCCTCCCCCCGCCCACACCCCGCTCCTTCCCCGACGCCAGGACCCCGCAGGCCCCCGTTACCGGTTGGAGAAGCGCAGCCAGAACACGTCGTACACGAACAAGCTCAGGGGCTTCACCGACCGCAGCAGCACAATGTAGCGGATGTCGAACTTGACCTTGCCCACGTCATCTCGAAGGAACAAGACGGGACTTTCAATGTACTTGGACACAACCTGGAAGACACGGACGTGGACTCACCGGCGGCTCTCGCCTCCCCTGGGCCAGGAGAGAGAGCACCTCGAGCTCGTGCAGCCCACCCCGAGCACCTGGGGCCCGCAATGAGGGCCCCTCTCCTCTGTCCCGGAGGAATCCTGTACCCAGCGCCAACAAGGCAGAGCCACAGCTGCGCTTCCCTCCTCCTCCTGCCTTTTCAGACCCTGTCTGGGTTGCAGCAAATTCTTGATGTTCGTCTCTTCCTTAACCAAAATCCCGCCAGTTTTCAGGTTTTGACAACGGAATATGCATCTTTGCCTATGACTCCGCCCACCGCCTGCAGCCCTCACAGAGACCGTCCCCGTAGTGCATTTCCTTCCGCCTCTGTCCAAGGACACATCCCACTGCTGTGGCCACGGCCTAGGTGGATGTCATGCCCTGCATGTCCCTGAGGAGTTCCCTGCACAGGCCTGGTGACCCCCTCCTGCCAGGCAGTCATAGCTGGTGCAGTATGTCCTGGGGACTTTGAGGTCAGATGCACCCAGGACACTTCTAACTGAGGGTCTCCTGCACTCGCCCGGACTGTCGCACAGCCCCTTCCTTGACGGCAACAGCACAGTGGAAGGAGTAGGGTGGGGGCGTCAGATACCAGGCTGCAGCTCCAGCTGGAGTCACTGTAGACCCTCCCCAAGCCTCCCCACCACGTGGCGCTATCCGCAGAGGTCCTGACACCTGAGCCCCCCTCTCAGCTGAGCGCTCTGGCACGTGGCGCCGTGGGGCCCACCTTGGGGGTGCTCTCTCGGTGCCGGATGATGCTGTGGAGGCTCTTGGTGATGTGCGTGTCCAGGCTGCGGGCCAGGTTCCAGGGCTTGCAGATCCAGTGGTTGTCCTCACCCCTGGGGAGGGGAGAGGGCTGGCTGGGTCGCACCTGGGGCCTGTCCTTCCAGGGAATGCCTCCCCAGGACCCCAGCAGCAGAGTTGGGAGGGAGGACTCGGGGAGTAAGGAGGCGTCTGTCAGAGTCAAGGGACCTGTGTCCTGGTAGAAGCAGCAGCCCCAGCAGAGGCCTGGAGAGAAGCCTGCGGTCCTCGCGGTCCCTGTGCCACAGCCTGGACACCGCAGGCGCTTGGCTAAGGAGCAGGCTGGGCACGGCTGAGATGGGGACGGGGGCTGCGGGAGCATGATGGACCGTCTCCATCGCTCGGGGCTTACCGCCGCTCCCGCTGCTGGAAGTAGCTGATAAACTGGGGCAGCTCGGTGCGCAGGTTGAACGTTCGGGGAAGCCAAGGGGGGCCCTCGGGGCCCCCGGCCCGGCGCGCGATGGAGGCCAGGCAGTCCTTCACGGTCAGCAGGCTCTCGCAGGGGAACTGGTTCAGCAGCACGCCCGGCCTCTCCTGGCTGAGCCTCCTGCGGGCAGAGGCAGGCAAGGCCGTCACAGGGGGGCGCGGGGCTCGGAGAGCGTGGCGGGGCTGGAGGCGCCCTCACCTGTAGTCCTTGAAGTGGGAGAAGTTGAAGAGGATGTCGGCGTCCGCCTCGCTCTGGGTGAAGGTGAAGCGCGGGTGGGTGAGGGCCCTGAGCACCTGCTGCATGTCCGTGTAGACCCTGTGGGAGGCGCTGAGCTGAGCGGGGCCCACGTGGAGCCCTGGCTCGGCGACTCCCCGGCCCGAGTGGCAATGCAGCACAGCCTGGGCTCAGGCCCCACCTCCTCCGCTGACCTGCCAAGGGCTGAGGCAACTCATACCCTGCACCCCCAGGCTCCCACCTGTAGGCTGGGACCATGGGGTCTGCCTTGCATTTGCCGTTAGGATCAAACAGGATCATTTGGGTATTTAATGCTAGTTCTTTCTTCCCACACAGAACCAAAGAGGTTGGGCCGGACACTGCTGATCTCACAGGGACGTGCTGAGTGGGCCTCGTGAGGCCTCTGCCCTAGAGGAGGTGGAGAGTGGCTGGGCAGGGGTCACACCCAGACTGTGTCTCAGCAAGAGTCCCTGGGTGGACTGGCTGGGGTCAGCAGCGAGGAGACCCCCAGGACCTTGTGGAAGGTGGGTAGAGGCCAGCCTCTGCCCTGGCTGCAGTGGGACCTGCCGGAGTCCTGCTCTGCACCAGATGGGCGCAGCTCTCTGCACCTCACTTCCTCCCCTGCAAAACACAGCAACTGCTTCCGCAAGGGGTCCAGCCTGGACCTGCCGTAACTCACCAGCCCACACCTGCGGACTCCTAGGAAGGGCCTCTCCCGCAGCGCAGGCACCTGTTCTAGGTGCCTGGCACGTTCACGGCCAGCACGGGCTCCCCTGGGAGTGGCTGGTGCACGCAGGCCTGGCCGTGCGTCTGCGTTTTCTGGACGAAACGAGCACAGCGTACCCAGTAAGCAGAGCAGCCCCGTGTGGCAGAGGCGGGGAGGTGAGCCCCCCAGGCCTGGGGGACGGCAGGTGGGGCCCCGCGGCAGCCCGACGCCTTGGCCCGGAGCGCCCCTTGCCCGCTGCTGGCATTTCCACGGCCTGCTCCTATTTTTAACTTTCAAGGGCGAGTTTAAAATCTGCTTTCTCCAGGAAGCCCTGCTCGCTCTCCGCGGCACTCTGATCCTAAGATCTGTGCCTGGGTATTTCTGTCACCACCATGCCCAGACTGCACGCAGCCAGGGCGTAGCTCACTTCCTGAGCGCTTGTGTGCCAGGCACTGATCTGGGGCCGTGGGAACTGTGGTGAGCGTGGGAGACAGTGACAAGGACGAGTCCCAGCATGCGCAGAGAAAGGGCTACGCACCTGAAGATGTGGTCACGGGGACGCAGCACCGGTGGGCTGATGGCAAGCGGCAGCTTCTCCTTGTTCTCCTCCAGAATGGCCTAGAAGGAAACACACTGGAGCTAGGAACAGGCCTTAGTGAAGGCACGTCGGGTTGGGCCTCGCGGGGCACACGGGGTCCTCAGGCAGAGCCTCGCAGCTGCCGCTGGCTCCCAGCATCCGACGCCTCTGAGCAGCCCCCACCCCGGGATTCCATGGCTCAAGGCACAGTCCTAGTTTGGTAGCAAAAGAACAAGGTAAACATTGTTTCAAATCAGTGCTACCTCCAAGTCACAGGTGGCGGAGGTGCCAAACCTGTCCCGGGAGGGGGCTGCTTGGTCCTGGAGGAGCCCGAGGGCTGCGCTGAGCTCAGTGTGACGGTTTAAAACCCGTCCATAAACTCTCTGATGCCCGCTTCAAAGGCAGGGCTTAACAAGCTGCTTCTCACGGACACAGAAAGTGGAAGCGACAGTGTTTCTTCCCAGACTGGGTCACGAAGGCCCTGCAGCTTCCTCTGGGCTTGTCTCGCATGACTCGCTCCAAGAGAAGTCAGCGGCACGGCAGGGACGCCTGGGCGGCCCTGAGGAGAGGCGCGAGTGTGCTGCGTGGGAGCAGGTCCTCGGCCCCGTCACAGCTCCGGCAAGGCAGCCCTGGTGGGCACCCCTGCACCTCATGAGGCCCTGAGCCAGAAGCACCAGCCGAGCCGCTCCTGAACTCCTGCTGCACAGAAACTGTGCGGGATGATACACGTTTGCTGTTTTGGAGTTCTTTGTCACCCGGCCGTAGGTGGCCAACACAGGCAACGCCAAGGCCCAGACCGCAGGCCCAGCCCTGATGGCTCGCATGGGAGAAACAAGGAACGCTTGGCCTCCTGTCTCCCCTTCCTGGTCAGCGCAGAGCTTCCCGAGGAAAAGCACTAACTAATTCATGTTCCATTAACAACCTCAAGGCCGGGAAGCGTCTGTCCCTTAGCCACTCACTGGCTTGTGCAGACAAACATTTACTAAGCGCCTCCCATGCCTCTGAACCACCAAGAGCCATCTAGTTTTTCAGCTCGGTCAGTTCAATCCCTGCTGACGTGGACTGAGAAGTGCCAACGGGACCACTGCCCGTTCTAGCGAGTTGACGTGTTTGATCCTCCCCAGACCCTCGGAGGCAGGGCGTGAGCGCCTGGTGCGTGAGCAGGGCAGCCTCTGCCCGCCACCATCAGGTCCCCTTAGTTCCGGACCCCAGCTCTCCCATCAGCTGTGTGGCCTTTGGCAAGTTACTTAACTTCTCTGTGCTTCAGTTTCCTCATCCTCAGTAAAATGAAGACAAAGCAGAACCAAGAAGCTGCCGTAGGAACGTGGCAGATCTGGGGACAGATTCCCAGCTCAAGGACCCGAGATCTGCGTTTGAGGCTGGTCCCCAAGCTGTGTGGCCACAGTAGCTCGTGCTCATTCTCTGAGCCCCTTGTCACTCAGACACTCCCAGAACCCTTCTCTACCTCCCACAGTAACCAGCTCAGGGCCTGGCACCCAGCTGGCATTCAGTAACACTTGGTGTCTGGATGGAGAATATTCCAGAAGCCACTGAGCAAGCAGGCCCAGGGTCGGAGGTGGAGGCAGAGGCGGTCACACCTGGTAGTGTTCAGCGGGCGGCTCGGGCGTGGAGGAGCTGAGGTCCTGCATGTCGGCGGGGGCCCAGGGCAGCAGCACGCATCTCCGGATCAGAGGATCTGCCTCTCCATAGGCAAAGTCCCGGGTCACCTCCTCTGTGCCAAGACACGCGTGCCCATCAGAGTGGGCGGCAGGAAACCGGGCCTGATGCCCATCCTCCAAGGCAGGTGGGCATTGGACTTACCTCCCGTGTCCAGGTCCCTCAGGGGCCACAGCAGCGTGTAGGCCACCTGCTGGGGCATGTAGAAGAAGGGCGCGGTGGCAAAGCTGGGTACGTCCGCGTGCTGGATTCGAGAGCCGAATTCATCCATGATGTACCACACCGGCACCTTCTCCTCGGCTGTCTGTGAGCAGAGCACACGCGCCAACCCTCGTCCATCGGCCTACTCACCCGAACTCCCTTCCACGAACCCCAATGCCAACCACTCGTGCCTCCACACCAGCCCGCCAGGACTGCAGGGTTTCCCACACGCGCCCCCTTTAGCGAACCCAGGCCTCCTTGCAGACCAGGACACAGGCCCATGCAGCACAGTGCACCACCCCGTGTGGCAAAAGGGTGCTCGGAGACAAGCACTTAGCCCAGCAACCACAGGGGTGCATCTGGCGGTGTGTGTGTGTGGAAGTGGGGAGGAGAGACTTGGAGTCAGGGAAGGCTCCCTGGAGGAGGTGGCATCTAAGCTGAGATCATGAGAAACAAGCATGTGTCTCTTCCCAGACCAAGAGTGGGGAGGGGCTGGAGCGCAGGGGTGAGTCTAGAGGGGCCGGCAGGGGTGGGTGAGGAGGACGTGCGGGAGGGACTCAACTTCTCCCACGTGTGGCGAAGAACTGTTGAGGACTTTCAGGAGGGTGACAGAAGCAGAGGGGCAGGGAAAGAGGCAGCCGAGTCGCCTGGGCCTGAGTTTAGGGGTCCGAGAGGGGCTGCGCCCTGTGAGTGCAAAGGCCAGGCAGGCACCGGGTCCTTGGCACTGGCTGGCCCAGGCGAAGAGGTAACGTGTGCCTCTGAAGCCACAGGGACCCGGGGGTTTCCAGGGGCCACAGGAGAAGATGAGTTTGCTTCCTCTGGCCTGTGTCCTTGTCTGCCCTCCCCTGTCCCTGCCCTGGCCGCCCGCTCACCCCCTGGGCCAGCTGGTAGGTCTGGTTGAACTTCCACATCTCCTCCAGCACCAGGGCCACCACGTCCGCGCTGGGCAGCTCGCCGTGGAACTCGACGCCCATCAGGTTGGCCATGCGGTGCAGCAGCCCTGGCACCTGCTGTAGCTGCTGGCGGGCGTGCTCCACGCGGCACGTCCAGGCGTGGTCGATGAGGAAGATGCTGTGGGCACAGACCACACGTGAGGCTGCCGGGGGGCCAGGACCTGGCACCCAACTTTCCTGAGACTTGGTGTCCCCAGCACCACAGTCGAGCAGTCGTGGCACCTAGCGGGCCCGGGTGGGATCACTGTGTGGCCCTGAGCAAGTTCTGCTCTCTCCTCGAACAGGGCAGCAGGGGTCTCCACCACCTACCACCGGCTTGTCGCAAGCACCAGACGAGAGCAGATAAGCGGCATGCTGACTGCATGCCAAGCACTTGTAACAGACAGCGGCATCACCAGCACCGCGTGTCCTCTCCGGACTCTGAGCCGCTGGAGGACCGGCCTGTGTGCCCCATCCTGCCCCCTGCGGGCCTGGCACGCAGCAGGTGCTCAGCAAAAGCAAAGGCTCCATGTACCGGGAGGCCAGCGGCAGGCGGCTTGCACAGGAGCTGCGACATGGAGCTCGCGCACACACACCCAGGGCTCCTGGGAGCACCAGGCCTTTCTGTGGGACAGACTTCAAGTCCCGGCACACAGACGCCTGCAGCCCGCACACCCCGGCTTCCCTGGACGAGCCCAGGTGGGCCCGCTGCACGGCTGCCGCCGGACACAACGGACCCCAGGTCCGAGGCCATGCCCGCCCTGCCACCCTGCAGGCCAGGGGCTGACCAGCAACCGTCCCAGATCCCTGTGGAGCAGCAACGACAGGGTCCCCGACAAGCAGAGCAGCCCCTCGCTGGCCCTGGGACCCTATCATTCTTTCAAGATGAAAGGAACAGCAAGTGCTCCAGTTCCTAGGTTGGGCGGCAAGTCCAGTATTTATTTTACTGTGCTTGTATCTGTTGTGTTTGTTTGCACATCCTAAAACAAATGGCGATTCCTTCCTGCTCCTGTGCTCAGAGCTGGTGACTGCACGATGCAGCGCGCAGAGCCAGGCCTTCGAGGTCCAACCCTTGGGGGTGACCCTGGGCAAATGCACTGGGGGCTGGGACACACACAGGCAGCGGTAGGGGACAGAGGATGGAGGAACTTCTTGGGGACTGGTAATCATGGAAGGCTCAGTGGACGAGGGCCTGGGGACAAAAAGGCCCAGGAGCAGGTGGAGCTAAAATTAACCCCTCCCAACCCTGGCTGGTAGCAGTGTGCGTTGTCAGGCCTGAGAGGGACCTTGGGCTCCCAGGGTGGCCGCTGCATCTGATTCGCCTGTACCTGGGCCCGCATAGCACCGGGCGGAGCAGAGCACGAAGGCACGCTGTCTGGAACCGAAGGGGGAAGGTGGGCTGAGCCAGACCGTGTGGCTGGACGTGCTGGGCTGTGCGTGGGACCGGGTGGACACTGCTGCCCACGCACGGCTGGAGCAGCTCTGCAGAAGAGAGCGGACCCTGCCCAAGAGCTGTGTGTGGACACAGGGGCCCGGTAACCCTTGGAGACCAGGAAGTACCTTCCTCAAGGCTCCAACAATGCCTTCAGCAGAGGGGCCTGCAGGCCTGCCCTGCCTGAGGACGGCCCCTCTTGGCCCCTGGAGGCAGGACACCCCGGCTCCAGCCTCAGCTCTGCTCCAACCACCCCGTGGCCCTGGGCAAGGTCAGGCCCTCACGTCTCCCGGGCCCCACCCCAGAGAATCAGATCCAGGGGGACGGAGGAGGAGCTCTGAGCAAGGCTGACCTGTGTCCAATACCCGCACCCTTGGCCAGCGGGGTGACCCCGGGCAAGCCCTTCCCCTCTGTGTGCTTCCTAATGAGCAAACTCGGAACTCATGACACGCCGCAGTGGGACCACTGTGACGGCAAGACCACTGTGGGGTACAACCCAGCCACCATGGGACTGAGACCAGTGTTGACATGGACACTGCCCCGAGGCCTCGATGGAAACCCAGCTGGCCACACGTGCACACAAGGCCATCCCGGGGGTGAAGTCCAGCCACGGTGCTTGGCACACAGGAAGTACATGAGCGTCTGTGGTTACTGCTTCCCCCCGGCAGTGATGATCTCGCTATAAAACCTCTCTAAAAGGAAAACAGGCCCTGGGAGTAAGTGACTGGTGGCAGCCCCAGCTCCTACCTGTTGGGGTCAGCCGCCTGGAGCCCGCTCTCCCTGGTCACGATGACCTTGTAGCACAGCTCACGGCCCGGGTTAGGCTGCTTCTTCCTCGCCTCCTCTTCCTCCTCCTCCTCGCCCGCCTCCTCCACTTGCATTATCCCAAACACCTCCCCAGCGTCGAAAACCTGGGGGCCGGAGCACGGTCAGCAGTGGGTGTGGGCAGGAGACCCCATCCAACTCCTTAAGGACACCAAAGGTGCCATGGCCAGGCCTCAGAGACAAACCTGACTCCCGAGAAGAGCAGGGCCTGTGGCGGTGACCTACCCGCCCCCGCTATGGGTGGGGAAACTGAGACTCCTAGAGACATCAGTCACATCACCTGTGCTGTTGCCAAGGCGCCTCGTCCCACAGGACACCACGCCTGGAGGTGGGACTGCTAGTACGTGGTGGTGTTCTCTCCAGTCACAGTGGAGGTGGATGGGAGAGTCAGGATCTTGGGGGCTGGGGAGTGCACCCCAATTTTCCTCTAACCAGAAGAACCCATCCAACGCCAGAGCAGCTGAGGCAACCCACAGGGAAGCCTCCTCTGGCCACCCTGCCAGCGGCCCAGGCCGGTGGAAGCAAGGCTAGATGTCCAGGGCTACTCTCAGAGGCCCTAGGTCCAGGCGGGACAGGACGATGGGGCCTTCCTTGGTCCTGGAGTTTCCGTGGCAAAGTTGCGTGTAGATAGTAAAGCAGACAGACTGGCCACTTCTCGCAAGCTCTGGAGCCAGAGGGGCCCCAGGCCCAGCCACTGATGCAGTGTCCACCATAGGCCAGCAAGGGGGGCTTCTGGACAGATTCTGGAGCCAGGCTATGTGGGTTCAAATCCTGGCTTCACCAATTCCTAGATGCAGGACCTTGAATGAGTTACTTAACCACCTTGCGCCTGTTTCCTCATCCATACGATGGGAGCAACAGCTGACCTCTGTGTTACCGGAAGGATTAAATGATCAACACACAGGAAGAGCTCAGATAGGGCCTGGACCACGGCAAACGCTCTCTGAGTGCTTGGTACCATCATTACGCTTCTCTGAGAATTAAATAGAACAGTGCCTGTAAAGTCCCTGGCATGCAGCAAGGGCTCAGCAAAGGCTAGTTCCTCCCTCAAACCTCCTTCTCACCCCTGTATTAAAAACGGCAGGGAGGAGCCAGCCAGCTGTCCCCCCACGCACAGGAAGCTTCTGTGTGTTGGGCAGGACCGGGCAGCTCGGTGGTGTGAGGATGAATCACTCATGATCTTGCCTGGGAGCCAGCAGCTGAGCAAGGCCCTGGGCATCTGAGTATCAGGTAAATTGATCCGGGGCCCGGGAAGACTATGGTGAGGAGACGTAATGAGACGTGAGCTCCCAGGAAGGGAAGATGTAAACACCAGCGAAGCGCTGGTGCGGGAAACACTCCAGGCGGAGGGAAGGCCCAGGAGCAGGCAGGGCTGCGCGCCCACACCCAGCACAGCAGAACAGGGAGCACCTCAAAGACAAGGGGGCTCAGGTGCTTCCTGGGAGTTGGTGGACGAGCCTCGAGTTCTCCCGGCCCTGGAGAGGCCACCACCTTCTCCAGTTTAAGAGACCAGGAGAGGCTCAGGGGGCTGGAATCCACACCCCGGGCTTCACCCCAGCTCTCCAAATCCCCAGCCTTCCACTCTAAACCTTACGGGGGACCGTGGAAGGCTGAGGGACAGAGGGCCTGCCTCAAGCCTAGCTGGGTTTCTCCAAGCTGTGAAATGAGGGTGACCACAACCCCTTCATGGGAGGACTGGAGGATGTCCTAAGGAGATGAAAGAAGGGAATGGTTTCACGACTGCTAAGTTGTGCGGAAGAGTAGACATTTATTTTTAAAACATCCTTTTGGCCGGGCCTGGTGGCTCATGTAATCCCAGCACTTTGGGAGGCTGAGGCAGGAGGATTGCTTGAGGTCAAGAGTTCGAGGCCAGCCTGGGTGACATAGGGAGACCCTGTCTCCACAAAAAAAATTTAAAAATTTCCTGGGTGGGGTGGTGTTTGCAGTCCTAGCTACTCAGGAGGCTGAGGTGGGAGGATTGTTTGCGCCCAGGAGTTCCAACCTGGGCAACAGCACCAAGATCCTGGCTCTTAAATGCCCCCCTCCCCCCGCAAAAAACAATAGTCCTTTTTTCAGGCTGCTGGAAAAAAAAAGAAACCCACAAAAAAAAAACTCTCCTCCCCCCAAAAACCCATCCTTTTAAATCTCCCCATCCTTTCTGAGGGAACTGATCTAAGGCAAGGCCTGGCCGGGGTGGCAGGTGCTTGTTCCGAGGGTGTGTGCCCTCCTCCACACCTGGGCCCACAGCAGCAGGAGGCTGCACTCAGGAATAATGGCTGCAGGTTTATGTCTGGCGCAGTGGTGACTCAGCTCTGCCTGTCATGGCTCGGGAGGGTCACAGGAAAACACAGGCTGCCCCTCAGAAGGGCACCAGCAGCCAGGGTGGCCTGGGCAGAGGGGACCTGGCTCTGTGGCGACTGGCCTCTATGGTTGGGCACTGGCTGAAGCTTACTCCTCGTGCCACCCCCACCTCTGTGGGAGCCAGGTGCTCGAGTCTCAGCATCCCCTTTCCCCATGGGGACAGGGACTCAGAAGGGCCAGTGACCTGCCCAGTGAGGGGCTGCTGCCCTCGGAGGCTGGCCGGGTGGGGGCGGGGGCACTCCCACATTGTGCTTCTTTCACCCAGCACATAGGGACCCTTTATCTTCTCGAACAAACTGGGGTCCCCTTCCACCCCAGCCCACATCTGGGACCAGGGCAAGTCCTCAGGAAATGGTGGAAGTGAGGGCACAAGTCTTAGGGGCAAAGGAAATCCAGTTATAAACACACTGTATTTAAGGAGGTGCCACTGTACAGTTCCATTTTTTAAAGTATCTCTGTGTTTTGAGCAGGAAGGTTCCCGGTACAAGCAGGATTACATGTAGAGAGAAACTGGCTCAGAGGGGGTGGGGTTCGCCCAGCAGCCAGACTCGGGCTCCTGGTTCCCGCTGGGACATCCTCCTCTTGGCTTTGGGGTTCCACTTCATCACCTGCGCCACCAGCTTGTCTCAGTCCTCACAAGAAGGGAGAACCGAGAAGCCTCTGAGCCCTTTTGATTTCCCTTTAGATTCCTTCTCCACCCCTCCCACAGCCTGTTTCCTTTACACTGAAAAATGAGGGGGCCCTGAGGCTCGAGCCAAATGATCAAACACGACAGAATTCTATGAACCAAATGGTTAAAGCTACACAAATTCATGAGGCTCCTATTGTCCCTGGGGGGAGGCAGCAGCTGAAAGAAACCTGGTTGTGGCCAGCTGTGGTGGCTCACACCTATAATCCTAGCACCCTGGGAGGCCAAGGCAGGAGGACCCCTTGAGTTCAGGAGTTTGAGCAAGACCAAGACCTCCTCTCTACAAAAAAAATAGAAAAATTAGCCAGGCATCGTGGCACACACCTGTAGTCCCAGCTACTCAGGAGGCTGAGGCAGGAGGATCGCTGGAGCCCAGGAGTTTGAGGTTGCAGTGAGCTATGATGATGCTACTGCACTCTACGGGGGGTGGGAGGGACAGAGCCAGACTCTGTCTAAAAAAAAAAAAAAAGAAACCTGGTTGTGAAGTCTGACAGACCTTGGGAGAGTCCCTGAGCCTCAGTTTTCACAACTGTAAAATGGGGTGATGAATCTAACTCCTTACAGGGTTGTTGCCGGGCTGGGATGTGTGGGCTTAGCTCAGGGGCTGGTACACACTAGGAGCCAAGTTCCCACCGCAGCCCCGGCCTCAGGCCCTGGCAGGACAGGGCCACAGGTACCGCTCTCGCGCAGAAACTCTTCGGCGCCAAACTCCAAACCGCTCCCTTTTTCTTTTTGCCAAGGACGCAAAGTCCCAGTCGCTTATCACGGCGTCCGCATGCATCCCCAGCCTCACCTCCCGCCGGCAGACCCGTGCTCGCCTCCCCGCGCCGCAGACGCCCTGCCGCCCGCAGCCGCACGTGTCCGCCCTGCGCCCACCCTTGCCCGCACCTCGTGCTCCAGCTTGTGCAGGAGGCGGCCCCAGTACCGCTCGGGGACCCCCGAGGCGCGTAGCGCCGGGCCGTGCAGCGCCGCGAACTCGGCCAGGGTCCGCGCGCCCTCCTCCAGCGTCCGGCCCGCGCTGCTGCGCTCCGCAGGCGGGCTCTGCGGCTCCCGCTCGGCCTCCATGGCGCCCGCACCCGCGCCAGCGCCGACTCCAGCGCCGCCGCCGCCCGTGGCCCGGCCCTCCCGACTCGGCCCGCCCGCCAGCCCGCCGCGGGCCCCGCCCTCCTTCCCGGGCCCCGCCTCCGCCCGCCCTCCGCCGGCTGGCCACGGGCCTCCAGGTCACCGAGCTCGGAGGCCTGGGGATGCTGAGCGTGTCCACTGGCTGAGCGCATGAGCGCGGGGTCCCGCGTTGGGGATCCGCGCGCGCGCGCAGTCGCGTCGGTAGCTTGAAATGCCGATGTATGCGCACGCGCGCCTGACGGGGGTGGTGTTTATCATACGCACCCTGCGGCTGCCGCAGGGGATGCCGGGAGGGCGGGCTGCCTGCGCCCCGCGTGGTAAGAACCGGAAGAGACCCGAAAATGACCGGAAGGGATCTGAGGCCCGGCGGCACATAGCTGCAGCCCCTGCAGACCCCTGGGGTGGTAGAGGCGCTCAGTTTTCTTTCAATGCTTCACCAAATTTAGATGCTGCAAAATCGTGGCCCTTCTTGATTTTTTAATATTTGGATTCGGAATGTAAATTCATCCTGTCAAAGCTGGATATACTATGAAAATAGTTTTGTCTTGCAAGTCGAGATATTTTAAGTGCAACTGAGCGCGGTCGCACGCGCCTGTAGTCCCAGCTACTTGGAAGGTTGAGGCAGGAGGTTGCTCGAACGCAGCATTTTGAGACTGGCCTGGACAACATAGTGAGACCCCGTGTCTAGAAGACAAAAAAGGTGCAGTTATAGAATTTCAAAAGTTCATTAAACTCATTTTTTTTTCAGTTCTGTTGCTCCATAGGAATGCATTTCAATGTCTTTCTGTTTGCACCTTTGTAATAATTGTAATTTGCTAAGAAGTTCAAAGGCTCAACTTTTTGGTGCTTCAGTTGGTGACGATTTTGACTTAACATTTTGAACTGAATTTGAACAAAAGGCACAAGTTTAGAGAACTTGTTCAATGCCATCTCAGCTGAAATGTTACCTCCTAAGTGATAGGATGGCCTTGCTAATAAACTATCTAACAGGAGAAAAAGGAGAAAACTCCCAGCACATTGCCCCTTTGAAGAGAAAGATCACAGCAGCACAACTGCCCCTTTGTTTGATTAACCACCTGTGGCTTAAATTGTCTTATTTGAGAGTTTAACAGCCTTGAAGAGACTGGAGCAGCCAGCAGTGGTGTGAGCTCCCCATCCCAGCTCTGATTCCAAGGACCCTGATAAGCCAGCTTCACAGAGAAGGAAAAAAAAGGGAGAAACAGACACGGACATTTCATAGCCATTTTCTGCTATCAGCTGGCAACAACCACTTTTTTCTTCCTTTTTTCCCTCATAAAAACCCCAAGCCCCTTAGCCTTGGGGCTGGAACTTTTTTCTTTTTCTTTCTTTCTTGTGCTGAGCCCTTTCCCTCTCTCTCTAAGGGAAAGCAAAATAAATTTTTTTT